TTTGTAGTAGGAGGATTGACACAAAACCTGAATTGGGTTTTTCTTTTTGTTTTTTGATTTTGAAGAGAGAGAGAGAAAAAAAATAAAAGAAAGATTGGAACTGGCTTTGGATGATGAATAAGGATGTTATCTCTGAATTTGGCTTTTCCCAGTTTTTATTGGGTTTTTGTGGGGTGCTCGTTTTAGGTTTGTAGTAGGAGGATTGACACAAAACCTGAATTGGGTTTTTCTTTTTGTTTTTTGATTTTGAAGAGAGAGAGAGAAAAAAAATAAAAGAAAGATTGGAACTGGCTTTGGATGATGAATAAGGATGTTATCTCTGAATTTGGCTTTTCCCAGTTTTTATTGGGTTTTTTTTTTCTTTTTCCTTTTTTTTAAGAGAGAAAAGATTGGAGCTTGCTAGGGATAATCAATAATGATGTTATGTCTTCTCATATTTTGTGAATATACACTTCCAGAGTAGTGTTTTTGACAATAGTAATAGTGGTTAGGGGTGAGAGTATTTTAGAAGGATAAATATAGGATCCTAATTTTTTTTTAATACATAATTATCCATTTAGAATGCTTCTATTTCCATTTTTCCGGAGGATTAACGACTTCTTGGAAAAGAGAGAGACTTCTGGTTCACTTTTCATTCCTGATTCTAGATTTGGCAAAAAGGAAATTTTGATTTAGAACAAGAAAGGGTTGTAATGTGCTTGAGTTACTTATAAGAATTCAATTAATTATGTCCCATGGATGATCCTTGTCTTGAGATCTGTGTTCGAAGATTCGCCCGATTTCTTTCCAATCGTGTGCCAGAAAAGTGCTTTAACTTAACAAGATTCCATCTCTTTTGCTATTACCAAACACTTCCAGCTCCCAAAAATTATTGAACCACAAGAATGTGGGAGCGTACTATTCTCCCTATGTCCAAGTGTTCTAATCCGAGTTTCTTGTAATGTTAGGGTTCCGATCATATTTGAGGGCGACTTAGCTCACATTGCTGCTTCCCATCTAAAAGAAAATGATCGTGTCTATGTCGGCGGAAAGCTAAGTGCAAGTTTGCCTCACTTGAACGCTAACCAGGTTCAAGCCAGTGTTCAGGTATGACTATTACCCATTACTTATTTATTTATTTATTTATTTTTTTGTGAATGCGTTTAGAACAATATGGCTGCATGGGAAGCTGGGAGGCTATGGAGATACAACATCATTTTAAGATTCCAAGAGGGTGCTAGCCGTTAGGGAACCTGGATATAGTTTAAAGCACCAACATGTTAGTTCTTAAATTAAAATGGATTAGGTATTAGCCATTTTTTCTTAATAAAAACCCAGGTTTAATGCTATCTTAGGTTGTGTTTGGTACGAGGGTTCTAGAACTGGAACCATGATTGTGGTTCAAACCGTTGTTTGTTTGCAAAAAGTAAAAAATGGTTCTTGAAAATCAGTGTTTGGTTTGGATGGTTTTGGCTCAAGGTTTGAACCTTGATGCGCCACCTCCCCCCTTAGTTTTAGATGCATCTGATTTCGGTTTTAGAACCAGGGTTTGGACCCCAAGTTTAAACCATGAATCATGGTTCTGGTTCTAAAATCAAAACCACCCTGGTTTGAACCCTCATACTAAACGCAACCTTAGAATTTCTGAATCAGGTGTTAACCTTTAGAAAACTCAGGCATCCTGTTTCTTGATGTTTGAATTTGGAGTTAGCATGATATGAAGAGTGGATAATCATTCTCTTTTTTTTTTCCCCCTTTTTCTCCTTAAAAGAAAAGATTTTGGTGAACAGTTGTGGGAATGGTTCTTAAATTCATTAAAATAATGTCGATTTTTTGACATCATTAGGTTTTGGCGCATTGCCTCAACTTTATTGACGAATCGGTTCAAACAGCAAAGAGCTCCGTGCTGTACAAACAAGAAAAAGCTACACGGAATGTCTCTGGTGAATAGATTTTAATAATTTTTAGTTTTATGTTTTGTGCTGTCACTTTTTATTACATTGAAAATTTTCTCAGGTTCTTGTAGCAAGATGGTCTTTCGCCATATATGCCACAGAAAAATTTTTGACACTGGATAAATATGTTTGCTTTTTGCATCTGACATTGTAGCTGTGATTCTAAACCCCAAACCCTGAACTTGGAAGAACCAACCGTGGAAACAAACCATGCATAAGGAATAATTCTTATGTCTAAGCAGTTCGTTCTTTTGTGTGTTGAGATGGGTCTTTTTGAAATTTGATTTCAGATAGAAAGACTTCATTACTGCCAATTATTTGATGATTCCTCTATTCTAGTCCAATGTTCAGTTGTTTTTTTTTGGCTATAATGTCAATATCTTTATTGGTGATTTTCACGTAGCTACAAGTTGAAAGTTTTCGCATACTTGTGGCACCTAGAACTGTTGACACTTGACATGCATTAGTATCCGTGTCTGCACAGAATTCTTGGTTGATTTTCTTCAATTCATTTTCAAAAATTCTTTTTTCAGATCGTGTGAATAAAGATGAGTCGGACTTAAGTTCCTGGACTGACCTTCTTGAGAATCCGAAACAGTGGTGGGATAATCGTGATAAAAAGTGCAACCGATCGGTGATGAATGCTAATTTTGGATGCCTTATCTATCTGACAGCTTGTTTTGCATTGGTGAATTTTCTAACTTTTTTTCTTTTGGGTTGCAGGTGAGTCAAAAATACCCTGATTTCATTCATAAGGATGATCGTCGTGGAGTCTGGCTTAATAGAGCACCACGATCAGTCTTAATTGAACTTGAAGGACTCCAGTTCGATGTCCAAATTAAAAACTCAACTGAAGTAGAACAGTTTAAAGGTGATTAGCATGTTTGTTGTCAAATTAGGGGTCAAACTCATTTTTAGTTCCGGAACTATATGCCAAATCCCTCTTTGGTCCGTGGCTCTAAAGCACCCAAAACAAATACTTGATCTACCAAATTGTCCCAAATTAAAACTTTTCCCTGTCCAATTGTTAAAATATCAACGGAAAAATGCATGGCTTCCGTCTTAGCAGTCCTGCCCTAACATGTATAATTACGAAATTAACTCTAAAAAAACACCGATGGTTCTCATATGCCTCTTTCTGTCGAGATTTTAACAGCTGGATAGACAGTGAAACTAATTTGGGACAATTTGTTAAACTGAAGACTTGTTCTGGTGCTTTTTAAAATTCAAGGCCACCTATAACTCGGGGACTAAAAACGAGTTAACTCTCAAACCCATGCCAATTATAACTTTTTTGTATTTTATAAAAATTACTTGGATTCGTTTCTACTCCAAACTGTGGTTTAACATATTGTTTAGGTGCAAAGAAAGATGGGGACTCGGCATCATGGAGAGACCTTATTGATAATTCCGAACAATGGAAGGATTATCGTAATAGCAAGCTCAATGGGCTGGTGATGGTTCCTCCCTTACAAGCTCCTTGCTGTTCTTTTTGTCTTAAGTCATCAGTATTTTTTTCTCCCTTTTTTCAAAATATTATTATCTAAACAGGTTAATCCAAGATACCCTGATTTCAAGCATAAGGATGGTAGCCTCGCACTCTGGCTAAGCAGCGCACCGCAGTGGGTTTCGTTACAGCTCGAGGGGCTGAAGTTTGACGGTGGATTTAAAAAACCAAAAGCAGTAAAGGCCAATAAAGGTGAGTCCTATTCTTCCCATTATTTTCTCTTTTTGAAGCAAAAAGTAAAAAAAAAAAAAAAAAAAAAAAAAAAAAAAAGAAAAGTGTTACCAAGCAAGTACTTCCATTTTCCAATATTAAATGTGTCGTTTAGTGGACGTTTAGTTCATAAATTCAGAACTATAATTCAGAACTATTTTTATGTAGACGTTTAGTTCATGAATTCATAACCATGATTCAGAACCATTTTCGTTTTCCGTGTGTTTTTTTTGTGAGAGAAAAACACTATACAAAACCATGAATCATGATTCAAAATCAAGGACAAATACATGAAACAAACATCTCAGTTTTAACGTTTTTTGTGCACAGTTAAATGCTTCTTTTTGTTTGTTTTTCACGCTGTTGTGCAACTCCTGTTTAATTTGGTAGACGAACTGTGGAAGGACTTGGTGGAACACCCGGAGAAGTGGTGGGACAATCGACTGGGGAAGGTGATTCTTCCTCATCAACATCTCAATCTCTTCGTGGTTTATGAATTCAAAATTATAAGTCAGAACTATTCTCGTTTTACATGTGTTTTTTTGAGAAAAAAATACTGTAGAGAACCATAAATCATGACTCAGAATCAAGGACGAATACAGAAACAAACATCACTTTCTCCTTTTCAGTTATTGTTATTGTAATTGGAATTGTAAGCAAAATTTGATCTCTTGCCTACTTGCATTTGCAGCTCAAGGAAAATTCTCCCGACTTCAAGCACAAAGAAACTGGCGAAGGGCTATGGCTCCGCAGTTCACCGACCTGGGTGCTTTCTAAGTTGCCGCCTCCAAAGAGTAAGCAAGATTCATCTTTCGGGAAGAGGGATACGCTGTTGTCTTGAGCCATACCGAGGAGAGAATACTACTCGGTAACAAGATCTAAATGAAGCATATCACAACTTCAGTGTTTACTAGCATTTTGGAAAAGAATGTTTCCAGATCCTGAAGTTCTGCTGATGGTTCTTTACAGGCAGATTAAGGAGAAAAGAGATGCACCATCTATGTCAATTTTTAGACATTGAGGTGTTTGTGGAGTTCTGATTCTTCATGGTCCTTCCATATAGTGCACCACATTACTAATCCTTAATTTGTCTGAGAAGCAGTGTAATAGCGTTTGATAAATTATGAGGAGGTTTAATTGTTGTAGGTAGTTAAGATGACGAAAATAGACATGATATGAAATTTAAATATGTATAATTTTGTTTGTTATTAAGAAATACTTGTTTAACTTTTTTTTTTTTTTTTTATAAAAAAAAACACAATTTGTTCTTGAGTTTGGGAACATTTAATTTATAATAATTAATATATTTTTTTTTTCATTTTTTCAGTCACAATATAGTTACAAAAAAAAATGAGTATTAATGAGTAATCAATATATATGATCTAATTTATCATTAAAATAGAGATAAAATATACATTTCATTCTCAAAAACTTGTGGAGTCATTTTGTATATAACGTATTTCAATAGACATAAGTCTCACATTTTAAAAAGGTTTTAATCACCCAACCCAAGCACAAAAAAAAGCGTATTTATTGTCCGTGGTTTTTTTATCACACGTGTATGTATATGTGTATATATATATATATATATATTATTTATATATATTAGAGAAGAAAGGATACGGTTCCGAGAAAAAAAAAGATACAGGGAGTAAGTAATAAACTATAAGGTTATTTTAGGTACTTTAAAACACAATAGAGGGTGTTATGGATATCTTGATATTCATTTAAATGGAAGAGCTACTGTCCGCTGGTGTTGGAACTTTAGATGGGCTGCATACGACCATCTGAATTTTGACCTGAAGCCCGACCCAATCCGCCCAAATTTTTTAGGCTGCCTGCTCGATCCCGAGAAAGCCCGTGGACGGGCTGCGGGCCTGGTTTTGACTGCCCGAGCCCGGTCAGGCAGCCTAAGCCCGCCCGAATTACCCGAAAAAAAAATATTTTTTAATTTTTATAATGTTGTGTATATATATGTATATATATTATATACTATTATTTAATAATTGTATTTGTATATAAATAATTATTAAGTTATTTTGTGTTAAAATTATATAAAAACTAAAATCAACATTCAACACACATTATTAACACAATTTAATAAATTAATTTTTAAATTCGTAATTCATGATTGTCTCGTTAAAAACCTGACCAAAAAAAACTCAAGTGGGATAAAAACTTAATAAGGAAAAAAGAGTGCAATCATTTTGTGACGAATTACAAATTTTACAAACTTACAAAGTCTAAATATACAATTACAATGTCGAAAGCAAATACATATTTACAAATTACAATTTAATTTGAAGCTGAAAGATCGTCTTCAAAATTAAATGTTAATATATTAAATTCATCGATCCATTTTTGACTTGCTGGCGAAATTGTATCCTGTAAACGTTGATCGGCACGATCCTAATCGTTAATGCATACCAAGGCTCAACAATGTCCCTTTGCAATGCGTTTCGGTGTTCCTCAAGTATTCGTCCAGTCGTACTGAAGGCTTGTTCGGATGAAATAGTGGAGACTGGGATCGAAAAAATATCTATTGGCAATCGAGTTAGGATTGGCCAAGTTAATGCTCGTACCCTCCACCATTGAACTAAGTCAAACAATTCTCTAGTACCGTCGACTACTAAGCTCTCACTGAGGTACGCCATAAGCTTGTTAAAGCCGCCATCGCCTATTGATGAAGATCCACTCCCAGCTTCTGTTTGAGTCGTCTTCTTCTTCTTCTTCAACCCGAAAACATTCAAGAATGAATGCGGGTTTTCATCTTATTGTTGCGGTTCCTGTACTTGTTTGTGTTTCTAAACTTATTCTCATATTTACTATAGATCGAAAATATTCTTGCCCTTATTGTTGGAAATTGGTCAGAACAATTGATGCCTAAAAATTTACCTAAGTTTTTCTAAACCACTTTCTAAACTGTTTAATTTTAATCTAGGATCAAAAATAGTACTGAAACCATACAATAAAGGTAATTTAGACCAATATTTTTTAAATTTCTTTTTCATAAAAGCAATAGGAACTCCTAAGATTGGGTCCGCTCTATATTCACTAAATAAAATACTAATTCTTTCACCTAATTGTCTTGTTCTTAATTTTGCACAATTATAGTTTGTTATAACATCCTTATAGGGGATGCATTGTTGAAACATAATATAAGTTGAGTTCCATCTTACAAGCATATGTAAGGCTAATGCTCGAGGTAGTAGATTTAATGCTTGTAAGAACCTAAACCAATCTTGTTCTCTTTGGTTACTACCTTGAATCTATGCAATAATATCTCTAATTCTTTTAATATGAGTAGCCATTTCTTTTAAACCGGATTTAACTATTAAATTAATTACGTGATATGCACAACGTTGTTGGAAAATAGTATCATCACCGAATAAACTTAAATCATTTTTGAAGTACTCAATTGATTTAGTATTTGCACTAGCATTATCTAATGTTATAGACATTACTTTATCTTTTGATCTAAATTCATCAATTACATTTAAAATTGTATTATATATTAAATCGGTGCTATGTGATCCTAAAACACATTTAAAACCTAATATTCTCTTATCTAAATCGAATCATTTATAGTAATTTCTGGTTACAACTAAATAATCTTTATTGGCAACGGCAGACCAAATATTTGCCGTTAACGCAACGCAACCACTCGTCGAGTGTAAAAGGTTTATTAATGCTTCTTTTTCTTTTTTAAATAATTTTAACAAATCTTTCCTAAGAGTAGTTTTTGAAGTGAACTGTGCATTAGGATTATATACAACTTTAATATACTGCTACCAATTAGGATGCTCTACAAAACTAAGTGGTTGATCTAATGCAGCTATCATTCGCGCAACTTCCGTAGGATCTACTTGCGGATCGTATTTCTAAGTGGTTAGACCACCGGTTGCGCGATCAAAACATAATTGTGTTTTGGCGGAGTTCGGCTCCGCCGGACTGGCTAAGCTTTTGAAGACACTTTTCAGAGTGTTTTCTTAAATGTGTTGTGCCATGAATAATGTCACATTGTAATTTAGATAAACAATATTTACACTGAGCTATATGTTTAGTATTATCGTCATTGTCGATCTCTTCAATTGTGTCGAAGTGATCCTAAACTGTCGAGGTGTGCTTGCATTTCATCTTAGAGGTTGCAACACTTGCAGAGCAGTAGCACTTGCGCTCGCCGCTTCTTTACGCCCACCAACATTGCGATCATGACCTCCAGTACGTCTACCAGGGCTCGGATTAGCAGATTCATGCGCAATAAATTCATTAGTGGGAAATTGTCATTCTTTCATGTTGTGTTGGGCATCAACAGGAATACCACCATAACCAAAAGAATCCATTATAAAAAATAAGAGCGATTTGAAAGAGAGAGCTTTAGGATATTTTGATAGTTTTTAGAAAAATTATGAGAGAGATTTGAGAGATTAAGAGAGATTGGGAGAATTTGAGAGAGACTGAGAGAAATTGAGAGGGATTGAGAGAGTTTGTGTGAGGTAAATCTGTGGGGGATGAGGGTATTTATAAGGAAATTTTTAGGTTAAAAAATTAATTTTTTCCCCTAAATTCGGATTCAACGACCATTTTTTTCTCGACAGGTCGGGTTCGAGCTGAAAATCGGGCAACGGTAAAAAAAGAGCAGTTAGAGTCGGGCAGCTCAGGTGGCTAGTCGGGTCGGGCGCCAACGGCAAAAAATATAGCCGTTGGTTGGGCTCGGGCTTCGGGCAATTCGAGCAAGTCGGGTTGGAATGAAAAAATTTAAAAAAATTCTAATGGATGGCAGTTGACGGCGATTTCTCGGCGGTAGGCTCCGGCGATTTGGCCATTTTCGGGCAGCCCGAGCCCAAGCTCAAAAATGGAGCTTGGACGGGCCGGCCTTTGGGCCTACCCGCCGAGCCCGAATAATTCGGGCTTCGGGCAGGTCTGCCGGCCCAAAGTTCTAACACTACTGTCCGCACAATTCAAAAGCAAAAGCAGCCTCAACGCAGATTCTGATTTTCACTTCCTGGGCACTACAAATTCTTCCATAATTACTATTTTACTCTTTTACCAAACACAAAAGGAGACCTAACTTATTAAAAAGTGCTTTTGGCTGGTTCAAAAGTAATACCAAACATAGCCTTAAACTCTTCAAACTTATGAACCAAACGAGTCCAATGTCCTGTATATAGCCGTGTTAGTAATAGACAATACATATCAACTATAACTAGATTATTCCCACTTCATTGAGATAGGAATGCCCTAAGCTGCAAAGACATTTTAATGTTATTTATTTATTTTTGAACTGATTACTAATATATTTGAGGTTATTCATTACATTGCTATATGTCCTCATCTTATTTTACATGTTAAAGTAAATATAAGCAAATATGGCTCACTGTCTACTTAACGTTAAACTATTAGAATGTTGCATGCAATGGTGTTTTGTATGCAAGAAGACAACATTCTAAAGTAAATAGCCTAAATCTATAGTTCGTAGTCTATAAGGTTAGAGTGAGCATCTAACTCATGTTAAGACTATTATGTTGTCTAAAGCCAATTGGGGAGACGGTTTGTCTTGACTGTCTGGAGCAAGTAGACTCTCGAGTAGAAACATAGATATGTTGCCTAGCTGTGGTGACGTATTGGACTTGGACCAAAGTGTAATTAATCTATGTAGTCCGCTTGAGTAGATTAATTCACTTTTGACGTTCATTATGCAATAACCTTGATCCTGAGTATGTGAATGGCTTTATGTTTATAACTTGTGTACTTAGATATTCCAAAGGCTAAGGTGTCTCTAAGTAGTAAGCTAATAGACCGGTTCGTTGGGTACACGACTTATATTCGATGGAAGGTTTACTTATATATATGGAATCATAGCTCTTATAAAGAGTAAATATTATCCTCTTAACGCCATTATACTGGATTAAGAAAATGATTTATTATTCACATACGGTGAATAATTATTTTCTCATCGGATGTATAATGGATCTTTAAGATAGCGTAAACAAAAGGTTGAACGAACTTTGGCCTAGGTTGATCATGGATATCATATGAGGGTGTTGCATTTATGAAGGTCATTGGACAATAGCTAAGGTAATACAATATATAATTGGGAGTGCTGAAAGTAAAAAATTATGTAATTGTATTATTTGATATAGAATAATGATTACATAAATTATCAGAGCCCATATTATATGCGTCCAATCGGTTCCTTTACTAGCTCCGCATAAT